TTGAGATTCAAGCTTCATCGTTGAAGATATTTTGAAGTGATATCATGACAAGGTCTACTATGATTCACCATGCTTCAATTTGTCAAAGAAAATCAAAAGATGCAAAAGTTGATTGAAGAAGTTTGACCTAATTGGACAAGTTCTTGATTTCTTGATCACAAGTGCATAACTTTCTCAATTCTCAATATTTGGAGATGGTTTTTATTGCTATGGGTTATTATTATTATCCATAACAACTTCTATTCACATGTAAAGAGTATTTGTTCAAGAAAGTTTGTCAAAATTGAAAGGGGTTCCCAAGCCATTTTGTTGCTTTATGAGCTAGGGTTTTGAACTTATAAGGGCTATATCTTGTTCACCTTTTGATATTTTTGAGTAATTACAAATACATGCTTCTCTTTAAAGGGTTATCAACTAATCACTTCAAAAATTTCAAGAATATTTCATGTGGAAGATGCCTAATGATGAAGAAAGATTACAAGTCCTCTAGATAGGCCATCAAATTCCCTTATGTGACTTCAAAAGATCATAACTTGTTCAATTTTTATCTCCTTGAGCCCATTATTTTTCCACAATGATCTTAAGAATGTGAACTTCAACTCTTATTTTATGTGTAAAACTTGAAAATGGATGGAGGATTCCCTAAGAATGCAAGATATTATAGGTCATTTCATGAATTTTCACCAACTTCACAAAGTCATAACTTTCTCAATTGTTGGAGTTTTTAAATGGTTCAAATATCAAAATGGCATTTAATACATCTACTTCATGCCATCTTTTTTAGTAAAAAGCAAATTTTGAGTGGAAGGTCATGTTTGGATGCAAAACATTATAGGACATTTTTTGAGAAAAACTTAGAATTTTTCTAAGTACAAAAAGTCAGCATTTTTTCTCAACTTTGACTCATCACAACTTTTAGCTCAAGCATCCATTTGATTCCATTCTTTACATATTGTAAAGATTGTAACCTTATCTTTCAAATGCTTCAAGAATCATTCCCTAAGACCCCTTGAGCTATGAATGCCATTGATTCAAAGTTGGTACCTTGAAACTGACTTTTTACTCCAAGTCAGAACTTGAAATGAACAATTCAACTTCTAATCACTAAATTTCTGCGCGTTTTTACTTCTAATCATGTTTAACAATCTTCCAAAAGTGATTAGCACCTTGAAACGCAAGTTTTGTTTGAGTTTTGAGAAAAATAAAAGTCACACTTTTAATGCTTGCAATTTCACACAATTACCCTCCAAACTTCATCATTCCACACGCTTGAGCATCCCATTTGATTCCCTATAAATAGAGGGTTATATCTCACTCATTTTCTCAAGCATGAACAACCAAAATCACCCTGTCAAACTCCCTACATAACTCACTTTTCTGAGATTTCAAATTCCCTTTTTCTCCACTTTTGAATCCAATTTCTTCATTGATCCTTCATCCTTGAACTTCACCAAAGCTAACAGAAGAAGAATCAAGCCTTGAGGTGTCCTAAATCGGGCAACCAAGTCTAGTTTCAGAGCATTTTTCAATTACTTCGTTTAGTTAGAATTCTCAATCAAATTGAACCAAATAAAGCACTATTCTACTCTATTCATCCTTCTGATTCTCACACTTCTTACTGTTTGCATTTTCATTCAGAATTGAGAGAGATACTTGGGATTTTCGTGCTCGCTATTTTTTCTGGTTTTCTTCAAATTCATCCTTGCATAGTTTATATAAATTTGTCACAAGGATACCATTAGAATCATCTTGAAGAGACGAATCTAATGGTATCGGTCTGGTCCTCTAATTTTATAGCTTGAGGAACCCCAATCTAGGGCGTCTGGAGGTTGAAGACGACATACGTGTCGTGCTTCAACCAATGATGGCGTGCCACGCTATTTTTTTGAAATAGATGTAGTGTGTTTATCTTACCATGCACGTGTCTCAGGAGCCCTTAGATCTGATTACTTTAGTGAGTCAGACTCCATCCAACGTGCCACATTTTAAGTTGTTTTTATTTAATAAAGATTGATTCAGTGTGAAATTCAATAAAGTCCATGACATGCACAGCGCGCCAGATCCACTGGATCTGTTTACTAACACGTTTTGATAATGACCAGATGTCCCATATTTTTTTGGTTTATTATTTTATTTTTCTGATTTTAATTTTAATTGATTTAAACTTCAAAAAATCATAGAAAATTCATTTTTGACTCAAAAATTATGAAAAAATTCACAAAAATAATATCAAATATGCTCTTTCTGATTTTTATTTTTTCATAATTTTATTTTCAGATTTGATATTTTTTTAAAAATTTCCTTTATTTTGACTTGTTTCTAATTATTTAAAAATAATTTTTGATGTTTTTAAATTCTGAAAAAATTTATAAAAATCATTTTACTTATTTCTGACCTGCTGAAGTTTTTCTAGAATTTTATTTTGACTTCTACTATTTTTGATCTTTTTTTCACTTATTTGAGTGATTTTAATTAGTTTAAAAATACTTTTCTGTTTTGAAAAATTACCAAAAATTTCATAAAAATAATTGAGATCATTTATGATTTTTCTATTGTCCTTTTAAATTTTTCTTTGATACTTTGAATATAGTTTACTATTTTACCTCTTATTTTCATCTTAAAAACAATTTAAAAGTCATTTTTCTTTTTTATGAAATGCAATTTATTTTTTTAATATATTCTGACTATGTGATTGTTGATCATAAACTTCATTAACATCATTGGATCTTGAGTGTTGAGTTCAACTCCACCAAAATGGATGGATGATTTTAATGATAGTTTGATCAAAAAATTTGATTCAAATATTCTCCTTCCCTCTTCATCTCATCCTCTTCTCTTTGTGTTACATGTTGTTAGAGGATGATCTACATATCATCACTCCAGACATATGGCCCATAGATTGCTATTGACCGGCCTCAAAATAGGTGCGACTTTCATATAAGTCCACTTACGATTGCTTAACATAGCGCTAAATTTTATTCTGATTCGAGAAATGATCATTCGTGGTCCAACTCTATATTTGCAAGCCCAAGCATGTTTAATTTGAAACCTTTGATTCAATAATATTAAGTTTCATTGTTAGGAGGCTTTGGTCTTATCAATCCTCTAATGAATTTTCATAAATTTTGGAACTAAGTGAATCATTTAAACATCATTGATCATTTACTGTTGCCTTGAGATTTTGAAATGAATGACATACTTGACAAAAAGCAAATGAAACTTGTTGTTAAGAGGCTTTGATTTTATCAATCTTCTAATTAGTTTGCAAATGCAAGATTCAAGATGGTCATTCAACTAACTTCTAATTTCTAACTCATTAATAATTGACTTTTATTTTTATGCTTTTACTTTAAGCACCATTTATCTTAGCATTTATATTTCATGTTATTTTCATTTTTGCTCACTTGAGCATTTATATTTATGTCATTTTTATTTTGCTCACTTGAGATTTTCATTTTCTTTTTGAAGATACCTAGTGATCAACTTGAACCATAAAAAACTTTAATGTTACTATTTGGTTACTATCCTTGGCATTTTGGAGTTATAGACTTCTTGGACTTAGGATTAGAGACCTTGACCTATATTGAGACCTTGTGACTTCTATTGTTGTTTTGTCTGGAGTTCTTGGGGTTTACCCCCAAGATATTGGATTGTTTGTTTTCTTTGTATTCAAGTTATTCTGATTATATGTTTTGTCTATGATTGGGAATTCACCGGTATACAACCGTTACTCTGCCCAATTTTTGTGAAGACTTAATGCCTTTAAAGTTTGGTATCCTTAAGAGGTTTATTATCTTTACTTGCTTGGTTTCAAATCCAAAGGATGAGAATTCTACATTGACTCATTGTGTCAAGTGTTGGCTTCTTGTTGGTTAGACGATTTTTTCCCCTAACTTTTACCTTATGCTTTAGGATAGTCCATTCATCTCCTCCCATCTTCTTTAATTTCAAAATTTTCCTCCCTCCTTTTGAAAACTCTTCTTGTTTTTTAAACTTAAACCGCTTTCACAATAAAATTGGACATATGCCCATGTATTTTCAAAATATTTTCTTAATTAAACTTTAATCAACTTAATAATACCTTGAAATTTTTGTGAGAAGACTAAAAGTCAATCAATCTCATTCAAACCATTTTTCCACTTTGGCTTTTTACTTAAATTTTTCTATAAAAAAAATAGACTCTTGTCAATACTTGTAGTGATGCGAACTACTATACTTCTACGATATGTAGTGAAGTGAGATATTTTCTACTTGGATGTTGAGCGAGGCTTTGTTGATTTTAAAATCCAAGCTATATCCTCCACTTTGAGATGACGCAAATTCTCCTTTCTCATAATTGTGGGTAGTAAGTATGTTTTCCACTCGGATGCAATGATGATGTTTCGTCTCTTAAAATTAACCAACACACTTGTGTTTTAAAATTTTTAAAAGTGAACTACGAGTACTCTGACCCCCTATTACATAGAAGGTGGTACGTAGGCACTAAAGGTTCGCAACCGCGGCGGGTGCAAAATTGTAAAAAAATACTTCTTTTCTCATCTCCACCATCTATTTTTGTATACAACATTTATAGCCAAAATACACAAATTTTCAAAGAGGTTACTATGGAGTACCGTAGATGTTTAGAGTGCTAATATCTTCCATTTTCATAACCAAACCCCGAACTTAGATTCTCTCCCCCTTTTTTGGGTTATTCTCTCTTTTCCCATTCCTCTAGAAACAATAAAGCGCGGTGGCGATTTTTATTTGATCTATGCGAGTTAAGTTGATCCAATGGTTTAGTCTCAACATTTCTACCGCTACAATAACAACAAGACTAAACTAGTTGGAAACATTTCTATCAACATCCAATGGTTTACAAAAGTGGCAAAAGTTTAAGAAAATGGTAAATTTTTATTGCTCAAACACAAAGTTTTACATGCATGATCAACTACAAATGAAAATAGAATCTCAATAAAGGATTACAGCCTTCGGTATTCATCATTATCCCAACCACCAGATCAGAGGAATAACACCTTGTCTTCATTAGCATCTGAGCCAAATTCAATCTCTTCAGTTGGATGCTTCTTTTTGTTCTTGGGCATCTTCATCTTAGACTCTGAGGTTCTTACTGTCATTGTTGATCCAACAGAAGATCTAGCACCCTCTAAGGATGTGATTCTATCATTTTTCTTGGAGAAATCCCTTCTTGAAGAAGTAGCTCCTTTGGTCTTGCTGACTTGCTTGGAAGTGACACTCTTAGAACTTTTAGATGACATGTCCATTCTATTTGTTTTTGAAGAACGAAATGGAAAAGAGATGAATTTGATCTTGATGGTAACAAAATTATACTTATATAATGAAATAAAGAGTCTTGGGATAAAGCAAAATATGTCTTATCTTTTGTGCACCAATGGACAAAGGAAAGAGAAACATGTTTCGTCTTCATGCACAACTCCCCAATAAGGACTACTATCGATTATCTCAAAAGTTCAAGTATCATATAAGAATATCTTGGAAATTGAAGAGTTGTTTCCCATCCAAACTTTTTCATAATCACAAACATTTTTTTATTCTTTTTGATTAATGAGAAGAGGGGAGAAATAGATTTGATTTTGATTCAGTTTTATCCTAAAATTGTTCCAAAACATTTCAATGTTGTGGATTCATTTGTAATTCAATTTTCCTTTAGGTCTTAAACTCAGGGGGGAGCTTGCAAACCCCACTCTGTTCGCTTAAGCTAAAAGAAAATTTTGATGTCTAAAACTCAGGGTGAGCTTAAAAACCTAACTCTAATTTATAGTTAATTTTTATCCAGACAAAATTCTTCAACGAATCTGAATATTTATAAACATCAAAAAGGGGGATATTGTTGGAACAAGTTTGGTTCTACTTCTCAATCCTTAAAGTTTTGATGATAACAAAGTATGTAGAATAATTTTGTACACTAATCATTTCATTGAGTATGCATAATTTGAGCGTCAAATCATAACTTTATGGATTTTGATACATGTTGATTCTGAATACAAGTTCTAAAGAATTGATCTCTAAAGAAGAAACATCAACTGAAGTTAGAGACTCTGATCAAGCAGACTCTAGGCTCTGGATGAAAACTGATTTTGAACTCTGTTCAAAAGACTCAGCTACATCTATCGATTCTGAGAAAGAGTTACAAATGAAGAATTGTTTATTCTATAGTCAAGATTCTAAAGCCTCTGGACTCTAAACACTAGACTCTGAAGTCTTATCTCTCCAAGTTCTGAAGAAAGGCTATGAACTCTCATCAAACTTCAAAATCAATTTATACTATAAGCCAATGATTAAAAGAATGATTGGAAGAATTTTTCTGAATAATACAACATTAAAAGTGGAAAAATCAAATGTTCCAAAAGGACAAATATGCTGATATCCTTTCCACTATCCTAAATTTTAGAAGAGGACTGTACTATTGTACTATTGTTGTCGCCACTCATTTCATCCTCACACCACTACATGCAACAAGCAATTCTTCATTACAGCTGGAAATGTGTGGATATTCCAACTTCACCCTTCAATGAATCTTTTCATCTCCTATATAAATAAGTCTTAGAAGTTTGAAAAAAAATAGGATTTTGCAAGCGTGAGAAATTGAAGAAAGAATTGAGAAAAAGCAAGAATCGTTTTTTTTAGAGAAAAATCTTCATCATTACACTTTGAATTTGTCATTGTATAAATTTTCTAAAGTGTAAAATATTTATTTCATAATGTGTGTATCATCTTTTTGAAGCAACTTTATAAATACATTCTTTGTCTTGTAAACTCTGATGTAGTTATTTGATATACTAGGGTATAACCAGAATTCTCAAGAAGTCTTTGACAGATTTTCATTGAGGTTGTAATCAAATCTTTTATTAGTGGATTAAATCCTTATTGAGAAGGTAAAATCACCTTGACGGGTGGAATGGAGATAGTTTCATTAACAGCGAACCAGGATAAAATCTTTTGTCTTTTATCATTGTTACATCTTTGTTGTTTGTGTTCTTGGATGGGAAAAAAAGTTGCAATCAAGAAACCCGATCCAAACCCCGTTTTATTGTTTTTCTTCACACCTTCAAGGATGATGGTGACAATGCATAGGTAGCACATCATAGAGTGTGTGCATTGAGGTTATGCCTCATATATTTGGTTGACATATCCATGTTTATGGATAAAAGGGCATACTATATTGATGTTGTCTACTTGAGATATTTCATTGATTTATAGAGGATTCATGAGTAAAACTAGGGTCCTCTTGTTTTATTTACCTCTAATCCAAGTTGGTTGAAGCTCGTTTATGGAATACTAGACACATGACAACAAGCAATACCCTATTTATGGTAATATTTATATGTTTACTGTTACTAATATTTCATTTGTTACAACCAGGCTCTGCAATGTGCTTCCTTCTTCAACTTGCTCATAGGGAGTCAGGAGGCCGAGCCATTCTGAGTTTATCTTTCCAATGTCGTAGTCGGTGATATAAACTTCACACAGTATCACAATCACTGTGAGACACACCCCTTTAATGAAATATCCCACTACTCCTGATAGTTGGCTTGTGGGTCACGATTGAAGTATTCACATCTACCTAAGCAAGTCATGGGTCAGTTTAGGTATCTGCAGAATATCCCACAATCCTTCGCAGAGATGTTGATGAGATATATATGGAGTACCATGATCATTTAGTCAAAAAGGATGCGTGTAGTGTGTTAGCTCCTCATCCATGTAGTATTGTATATGGCTACATCCAATGGTTTTTTAGAGTGTTCCATCCTTATATGATCATCTGAAGATATTAGAAGAGGAGAAGGATATGGCGGATGTTTACTTTGAAATTTGGTAAGAAATCGCTATTCTTCCGAATCCTAGAGATTTTGGTTGCTTACAGGATCTACTAGATTGATTCGAGGACAGTAGTGTATATTTTGTTTTCTAAATTTTCTGAGTGTTAATCTCTTCGATAGAGTTTGTTACTTCGAAAGTAGTAATAAAACGTTTTAAAGTAAAAATTGGAATGTAAAGCAAATTCGATTTAAACTTAAAAGGAATGTAAAAGAATTTAATTGAAAATGAATGATATTGAATATAAAATTGGTGCTTCATACGTACATTCTCAGCAATTCGTTTCTCGAACACTTGATACTTTGGTTTATTTTGAGTAATTTATACAAAGTGAACACACAAAATTCTAACATAAAAACCCCTATATATAATAATTGAAAACCAATTACCACGAGCAGTCTTCTTTGAGGATGTCACGTTCTAGTTTGTATATCTCTAGCCTTTCGAAGCTTCCACGTATCTCTTTTTTAAAGATCAAATGACCGTTAAAGTCATTTATAGCCACATTTGAATATATGTCGAATCTGTCTCGAGTATCTTTAGAAAATTTACTAAGTCATTCGCTTTGCACTGCTTCGTCCTTGTAGACTAGGTTGAAAATGTGTCTCCTATCACTTCATATCGAAATTAGCTTTCATCATCCCAACATCTGTTCGAATTCTCCTCAAACCTCAATTCGTTTGAGTGTCGAAATTACAGCTAACAGCGGACCATGCCATTGATGTATTGTTGATATGTCATTGTGTTGTGGCTATTGAGTATGCAAGTATAGAGAGAGGAGAGTTTCATGAAAGGACTCTTGGAAAGGCCATTGTAGAGACCGTGATAGCCAAAACACATCATACATTATAATACAAGAGGCAAAGGAGGAATCAGAAGGTTGAGTATTTCCCGATAGTTGGTTTTTTCTCTTTTTCTTTGTATTTTATGAACAATATATGATTTGCATTTTGACTATATAATATTTTGATTGAATTACATAAGTGTATGGTTTAGTTGATGTTAACTTCCATACTATTTGTTTGACAAAATAAAGATGATTTACTTACAAAGTGTTTTGGTGTGTCTGAGAGATGTCTGAAAGTTAACTTTCGTATTATTCTAAAGTGTGTCTGAGAGATGTCTGGAAGTTAACTTTCGTATTATTCTAAAGACATTTTCGGGTTTCTAAAAGGTGACTCTTCAGCACTAAGAGTGGGAAAAGTGACATTTTCAGGTTTCCAAAAGGTGACGAGCACCCCCTTTATTTTAAGTTACAAATCATTGGTCAAAACAAGGACTAGCATGGATAAGTTGCTAGTGATAAATGGTTGAAAAGTAAATAAAAATGAACGTTACCCTGTGAAACAATTTCTTTATGACAAATGTAGGTAAGTAGAACAGGTATAAAGCATCAGATCCAAAAATAATTGAACCAAAGCCAGATATAAGGCTAACTAGTTTTGTGATGAGCTTCTATAAGCTTTTCAAGAAACAGAACAGGCTCACGATTAACATAAGCACACATGAGTGATAGTCTTAAATTAAATGGGTGATAAAAAAGGCAAAACTGCAGACGAGCAACTATAATCAAATAACTTCTACAAACCATGAATGAAATAGTAAAAATACCACAAATACACATCAAATATCTCAACTTGTACAGTTCAGGAGGCTTGCTGAAATATCTGTTGCCCTTTCGAGAAGAATATTTACGAACCATTGCCAAGTTTATAGCTAGGATTAACAAAATATAATCTTTCAGTTGGCTGATGGTAAACAATAGCTTCATTGCGTAGAGTTTACTATTTTTTTCACGACATACGCTCCTATTTTTGACAAATCTGGAACCCAAAATGAAAGCTCAGATGACCCGGTTGCAAACATAAGACTCCCGGGAGCCCACTTTACAACAGGAGCTCCAGTATCAGAAGTTGCACTCCTCCAACTTGCAACCTAGAAAAATTAGGTAAGCATTAATATTGCAATGGCAAGTATTATTCACAGTTTAATTTCATAAGGTGGAAGAAGTTGTACAATGCCATTAAAAAAAGAACTTTTTGATGCCAACCCTTCCCAGACAATTATTTTTTTCAATCACAAATTTTTGACATAATGATCTGCTAGAAAATTATGATTCAATATATTCAACATCAATATCGATAACACGTCTTTTCTAATAGATATTTATCAATTGGTATCATAGCCTGGCTTTCGGTGGTATGATAGGCATTTGGGTAATATGGCGTGTCTTAGTTCAACATCGAGTAGTATGGGATGCTCCGTAGAGTATTTAAGTGCCTTGGTTCTTATTTGATAGCTAACTTTTAAGGGAGGGTTCCCAAATTGCTTACATACTTATCAATAAAGATGCAGCGATATCAGGTTCAACCATCAAAACCTCTCGCATGTATCAATATACACAACAATTAAAATTTGACATACAACTTCAAATGAGTTATAACATTATGTTTTCTGCTATTCTCTAGGTAATCAAACAGATAAAGGATAAAAGGATAGACAGAATGAATACTATTTCCAGAAAAAAAATGCAATTAGAAACTCTATTCTATTATGAATTATAAATTTATGTGAAAAATTTCCAAAAGTTATGATTATTATTAAGCAATAACCTACTCTTCGGATTTGGGTTGAACCTAACTCAGCGGTATAAAATGGGCTTGTAAGATAAGAGATGTCTCCCACTTATAAGTATTTTTTCATACCATATGATTCGCATCCAATGTGTAACTCTTAACTAAGGCACACCCTTCACACCTAGGTTTAGACATCTAGAGAATGACCCAAGCAGCTCAATGGTGACTCCATCACTCTTGGATAGGCTCTAATACCATCTTAGAATTTGGATTAAGTAAGGGATATCTCCTATTTAAAAATATTTTTTAGGCTATATCTCATCTAATGTAGGACTCATACTTGGATACGCATAAAGACATGGCTATGAAACCATCCCTTCAACAACGGCAGGCGGTTAGATAAAATCCTTCCTGAGAGTGGTTACTGTAGAGCTTAAATCCTTTACATTGCTAGTAAAGTTCCTTCATAATCACATTCACCGCCATTATGTTAGTGTTGTTTTCTACTTAAATATATGCAAGGACTATTTTCAGTTAACCAAGCACAATTTGCAATTTAGATATTCACAATGAAATAATGAGGCATTCTTGAAAATTTCTCGGTAAAAAAAGAGAAAAACACAAGCATGAAAAGCTGAACATATAAAAGTATGCCAACTTAACCATATGATCCTAACTGGAGAATAACTATATTAAGGTACAAATTAAGTAAAACAAATATATGAAGAAAAATAACAGTTATGAAATGCAGAAAAAGGTAAAAAAATAGCTTATCATACTTCTTTGCCACTTCGAACATTCCATGCATAGATGCTACCATCCCCAGAACCTGCAAAATTCAGGCTTACAAATTTAGCATAACAAACCTGGCAGAAAGTGAACAGAAGCCAACAGGATTCCATGCATGATGGTTGACAGATTGAAAATACTACTAGTGAAGCCTGAATTTTGGAAAATAATCATATTGATTGTAAGGCTTTCTTCCAAAATATAATTTAAGTCATGAAATACCAGGGTAATAGTTCCACATTTCATGTATAAAAAATAATGTCAATGCAAAAAATAGTTTATGTAATCAGTGAGATTACAAATGCATAATGAATAGAAAAGTGTAGGGTAAACCAAAAACCCTTACTTGATATTACAAACATTCCCTCGGGGCTGAAAGAAGCTTCTAATGTGGAGTTGCATGAGACAGGCGTGACATTATATGTCGATAACTGCGTACACATGATAAAAGGAGAGGTCAGATAGAAAGCCTTTCAAAGCGGATATAAATCAATTAAAAGAAGTTTCTGGGCTGAGTAAAGTAGGGAAGATACGGACAAGTGTACCACGGAATGAGTCAAGAACATGGACATGCCCATCTGCAGTTGTTAAGAGAATGAGTCTCCCATCGTTACTAAACTTCACAACATTTGCATCAGAAATATCTCCCCCAACAGAAAATATCTCAAAGGGACCCTGTAGAATGAATTTCACCAAATTAGATTATTAGGCTATCACAACCTTTGTAGCACCGATACCTCTGAAAAAAAGGTGTGCCCGTGTCAGCTATGGTGTTTGAAACCGACACCAACACTTGTGATTACGTTCAATTTATTCATTTTTTCAAATTGTTACTGGTGTCGGTGTCTGTGCTTCATAGATCACAACTAACATTTCAAATTTACAAACAAACAAACAATGTGGTATGAGTTAAATGCATATTTTTATGAGAAATTTGCAAACCTTTTCATACTTCCGTGCATCAAACATTCTTATGTATCCTCCAAAGGCTACTGCAAAGACAAGACCTTGATCATCGTATGATATAGCAGGCCTTCCTTGTACATGTAAGAGTCCCTATTTAGTTTTTAAAGAAAGTAAGAAGCCCCTAGAAAAGTTATATAATTTATTAGATACAAAAGGATATAGTAACACACAAGCAGTAGTATCAAATGCTACTACCTGGCACTTCTCGGCCCTTTGATCCCATAGTAAAACAGTTCGATCTAAGGATCCAGATATAAAGCAATCTTTCGGAGAGCACATGCTAAGTGAAACAACCCTTAGAAAAAGAACAAATATGTGTTTTGTTATATTATATGAGAAAATGGCGATGTATGTACATGAAAGCTACAGCATACACCCTCTGGACACTATTATAAGCAATTTTACTTTTTTTTAGTACATTTGACTATCAATGTATTTGGTTCATATATGGACTAGATACACTGATAGTCAAATGTACCAAAAAAGTAAAAGTTGCTTATAATAGTGTCCGGAAGGTGTACAATTTAAGATTGTTGTATATAACAAACCTGTCATGATGACCTTTGAAATATCTCAAGTACTTGTTATCATGCAATGATAGAAGCCGCAAAGATTCTGGATTATTCGATCATATTAGTAACAAATATACAAAAAATTTCCTAGTACATACAGATTGATGACGATAATAACACATACCATCCCAACCATTCTTAGAAGAATAAATAACAGTTGTAGGATGAGATGTGAAGCAAACCAAATCAACCCCATATTTCTTGCTGTTAATTGTCTTCAAACATCTGGTAGTAACAAATAAGAAACATGTGGTAGTAAAAATGGTCGTCCACCTATACGCTATCCCATTTTTGAGTCGGCCGCTATGCGGGATAAATAAATAAATAAATAAATAGAATTGGGGCTTACGTTCCAGCAGCAACATCATATAGACGAATGGATTCATCATCACTAGCTGTAACTAGATAACTGGACGCCCTGTGAAAATCCAACGAACTAATTCTACCATTCTGAAACAAGAAAAATAAAATAAAAACCCAATTCCAAAAACCCTAATATTCATTTCTGTTAAACAACAACATAAAACAAAGAGTAAAAACCACTAACGTAGTCTTTGAAGGACATTCCAACTTCCATACTCTGAAGAATTTCTTCACTAAGCTCCAAAGACACTTTCTCTTCTCTCTCCATTTTAGAGCCAAATTTCGCGTTGGTGTCTGAAATGCTCATGAAGCTTTTATGGATTTGAGTTGAGTGTGAAGAAACGTAAATTCATCTATTGAAATTGCACAAAAACTTGAGCTCGCAAAAAACGGTACAAATCTAATATTTTTTGCTACTAACGTTATTAGATGCGTTTTTGTTTTTGTTCGGTTCATTATAAATATATTTATCTATCTATTTTTATAGAAGTAGTAATTGGTAATGTTATGATTAATTTGTCTCAATATTTAGTGATGACGTTTTAATATTTAAAGTAGTATTTAAATATTTGTTTTTGAAAAATATTGAACTAATTCAGGTCATTTTTTACATGACTAAGATATAATGAGGAGTTTCCTCCCTCCAAACTTGGTTTTGGAATTTAGTGACATTTTGGGTTAAATTGTGGGCAATATTGTTGTTGGTCGTGTTTGTATAGCTAAACCTAATTCTTTTAAAGCGATTCATTCTATTGTGATGTACTTATAAACTTTATCATTTGTGTTTCTCTTTCTTTGTTGTGGTCGTTCAGATACTCTACAAGGTTTTGTATTTGTCTCAAACTCGACTTCTTTGAAATAATATTCTTCGGCCAAATTAATGGCCTTTTCATGGCCATGGTTTTCGTGAGCTTGGGATCTCCTTCTTCTTCAATCCTTTTGTTACAAGTCATTAGGGTTTTTCCTTTATCATTTCTGAAGATTATCCCAAGGCTTCATTCACTTCTTCTTTTTTTGCTAAACTAGCGTCAATATTACACTTGATCCAACATGTTTATGGAGGAATACACCCCCTTTACGCCATTGCTCTTGAGGTAATGAGTATTACTGCATTTTTCCTTACCTTTTTCTTCATTAAGTTGGTCATTTTTGTTGTTACGCCATTTTCCTTTGATATTCTCTTCATTCACCTTGTTGTTGTTTTGTTTCATGTTTGTGTTGTCGTTTTGATGATTGAGCTTGTTGATATTTGTATTGTAATTTTAATGATCGGGCTTGCTGAATTTGAATCTCTTCTACATGCCTCTACTTTAGAGCTAACTTATATTCTCTTTGCTTCGTTTTCCTTCTGATTATTGTTATTGTAGTGTTGATTCGCCTTGACCTTGCTGGTATTATTGTTATGCATATTATTAGGCTTCCAATGAGTTTAGTAAACTTCCTTTCTTTACTCCATGTTGATTTGATTGCTTCTTATATTTCTTTTTTTTTGTTGACCTATTTGTTGTGATGTTTCCTTGAAGCCGGTTGTTACTCACCACTTGAAAGTCCTTACTATTTTGATCTTCTTCATTCAGGTTATTGGTGTTTTTTCTACTATTATCATCTTTGTAGATTATGTTATCGTGAGTGTTTTTACCTTGCATGTTATCTTTGTGCTCTTTTTGCCTAGTTGGCTCTAATTAATACAGTCGTTGGTGCTTTGGTTGCTTCTTATGATAATAACCTCCACATGTATGTCTTTGTTATCATAGATTTTTTTATTCTTGGCCATCTGTAACACCCTTCTAAACCCCAAGGAATATTCGTAAATAGTTCATAAGATTAATCAGAGTATATCACCAAGAAGGGTGTCACGTCTTCATATAACACATCATAATAATACATCATGCTCCGTAACACGAGTTTTTCAAACTATTTAACAATATAGATTCAACATTGAGTTCTTCAAATCATTGCAGCGGAAATCATAGTTCAAAACACTTTATTATAATACTTCATAAAATTTAGTCATGCTTCATAGCTCATACTTATAAATCAAAACATCTCGAGTACCATGTAGGGTGACTCAACATCTTAAAACAAAACAAAGAACATAAGTTCCAATCATTCAATCTCAACCCCATTGTTATATATCTGAGCAAGACTCTCTTTATTCAACAAAAGCAAATAACGCACTCTGAAGCTATCCTTTAACACCTCTACGACTATTCTTAATCACCTTCCTGTTACCCACGTGGAGGCAACATTCAAGCAGAAAGGGTGAGTAAATCATAATCATTATATAAGACATAAGGAATAGACATAGCAAATATGCACATAAGCAAGGTATCACACATCTTCATATCTTCATGTTATACTCACATCTTCACAACTTTATCAAATCACAACAATGGGTTATCAACACACCATTTATCAATAATTATCATTTAATCACATCATTATGCAATGTCACATAAAATGTAATGCATCATCATAGACTTATGCATGTGGTACCAAAACTTCACTGATGACTCTGTCATCGTTATCTCCAAAGATCCCCACCATAAGATTGATTCCCGCTTGGAACCAAAGTACTTCACTGTTGTACTCAATCCACACTATGGGATTTTTGCCTTCACTGGACAATCGTCATATCGTCTTCACTAGACCGAAGTCCTAACTTCACTGGACCAAAATCCTAACATATACCATGAATGCAAGATACGCAACAACATAATAAACACGACCATGACTAGTCAACATGCATCATCATTCATGATTACATCATCATATCATCATCATAACATCATATCATCATATAATCATCTTAATAAAATATCATATCATCATAACATTGTATAATCATCATCATAATAAAACATCATCATAGTACCAGCATCATGTCATCATAATATCCAAACATCATCATATCACACAACATATCTTCATGTCATCATATTATATAAGGTATCATCATAATGTCTCCTAATCATCCTCTATTCATCTTCTAATCATTTCAATAAAACAAGCACCTTTGTAATCCAACATGGGGAACCTAACTTTATTATAGATTAGGTATTATAAATATAATTTGTATTCTTCATTTTACTCCATATTAATAGAGTTCATTGTATTAGTTATCCAACCCTTTGAACGACACCACATTCCGAGTTATAAAACTCAAGTTATGACTCTTTTAAGCAAATCCAATACAGCCAATCAAAATTAGACATCACCTATTTCGTCTGGCAACGCGTGTTTGCTCGGAGACACCACCTACGTCGCCCGATGACACTGCGTGAGCAAGGTTTTCCTGTTGTGATTTCCTGCATAAAATCAGTCATAAATTTTACGATTTCACCATATTACAGGTCCTAAAACATCATCTAACCACAGGGTTTCATCATCTATCAACATCCTATAATTCTATACTCATTATACATCAATTATAAATCATTATTCATCACTATTGTACTCAAAAAATTTCCCTCTCATTTATCAAGAATTTGCTCACAAGATCTCCTTGGGCTCAAGACTGTATTAGGGTTTGACCAGCTCAAGACACCTCCTTTTACACTGATAACCAAAATTAGGGTTTGAGATTGCACAAGGATTTTTTAACTTCCAATGCCCCATATGATTTTCATGTATCATTATGGACCCCCAAGATTACTCATGTCAAGTTTCAAGCCTTGGATCACATTTTTTCTCAGTCAATTGAGCAGTTGACCTAAAAATCACTTGTATTGGGGGAAAAGTCAACTATGGCCAATTCACAGTCAAACTTCATAATTTTTGGTCCACATCAACATTTTAAACTCATGTGTATCATCTGATCAAGTTTGGACCACAACTCCTCAAGAAATTTGATCAAATCTCCAAAAGGGCAAAATGGTCAAAATTAGGGTTTTGACTGGGAAAGGGCAATTTCTGATTTTTGACCTAGAAATGATAAATTGGTTTAAGGCATGATCTCAAGAGTCCAATTGCATCATTTTGACCTAATGACATGGTTCAAAACATTGCAAGTCCATTGGATCGACAGATGAATTTTGTAGTCAACTGATCAAAAGTCAATTGTATACTGAAAAGTAAAACTTTGACTTTTTGGTCAAATTCAAGTGCCAAAGATCATAATTCATCAAAGCATGTCAAAATATGAAACTTATTCATCAAGAAATCAAAAAAGTCAAGATTTCATTTTGAAAAGTCTAAATTTCTAAACTTAGAAATTTTTACAAGTGTTGGAAATTTCATGTTTTTTCATAACTTTGAGCCAAATTTTTACCATGATGAAAGATGATTCAATAAAAACTTCCAACATGAAAGTTGTATATCTCCATGAAATCTACAACTTTTCTTTACAAAACTCTTTCTAAAAATACTTGGATCTCAAGTTATGATTTTATGAACATAAGGTCATGAAACTAAACACTTAGTGAAATTTTGCCCTAATTTAGTCAGGATTTTGACCCAACTTCATGGAACTTTTTCATATAGTTCCAAGGGGAATATTAAAAATAAATTCAAATATGGATTATAGAGCACATTTCAAGCTTTCCAAAATGTCCAAGAACTCCTTGAGATCATTCTTGAGGAGGGAGAATCGAAGAGATGAAATTAGGGTTTTGTCACTTGAATTACAAGTCATTTTTTATGAACACTTGAACCAAATCCATGCTAGGCTGCATAATCCTTGCTTTTCAGGACTCAAAATTTTTTGTCACTCCATAATTAAATGTTTACACAGATGTTAGAGCTTTGATCCAAGCAATTGAGCTATTGTCCAAGTTCCATTTCCATTTATGGCACAAAGTTAACAATGTCATTCTTGTAAAGCAAGCTTTTTGCATAAAGTTCACATTGAGCCTCTAACTTGTTCCCTCTGATCACACTCCATCCACAAAGTCAGAAGCAAACTTGTTTAAAGCATAACCACTCTATCTTAGCAAGTACACAAGGCATGGAAACTTGTTTTGTCAAAAAATCACATGTTTAACTTAAACATGTAAATTTGACATCTGATCAACTAAAGCACTCAAAACTTGTTGCATATAAATAGAGTCACTATTTGTGAGCTAGAACAAGAGCTTGAATACCCTGAAATACACCAAAACTCTCTCAAATCAGAAATTGCACAAAAACTCCATTGTTGCACATTTTCTGACCTTGAACATCAAACTTTCATTTCCCTCGTGCGTTTCTTGGCCTTTTAGTTTCTAAAGCTTCCTTACATCAAATACAACTCATCCCCATCCTTATTCCAGAACTGTAACACCATTTACC